ATCTGTTACGATCCTAGCAGTCTGCAGCGTTGTGTTATGTTTGGGCCGAAAGCCAAACTGCTCGTCCGAAATTAAACTTCTAAGTTCGGCTGCCGTTTGCAACCTCGAAAGAATAACCTTCTCAGTTAGTTTTCCGAGGGTGTTTAAGAGGGAAATCGGCCTATAAGAGGCAGGATCAGCCGGGTTTTTGTCCGGCTTTAAAATTGGAATTATTACAGCGTTTTTCCAGTCCTGTGGGAAATGATGTAGTTTCAGGATTGCGTTGACTATTTGTACTATTAGTACAATAGTTTTCCGCGGCAAGCTTTTAAGGAGTAGATATGGGATGCCGTCTGGCCCAGGGGCTTTTCGGCTAGAGAGACGCCGAAGACACGAATCTATTTCCGACGGGGTTGTAATATAGGAGTGCAAAATCGAGGGGGGGACAGGATACTTCCGTTCTACAAAAACAGCGGTCGGTATTTCTATCTGGTTATCCTGAGGGGATGGTTGGACTTTGTGCACCTCTGCCAAAAAGTCTGTGAGAAGCTCACACTTGTCACTGGTGGAAATGTAACTCCTCCCCTCTTTTTCAAGAGCGGGGACGTGCTCATAGCCTTTTCGAAGGTTTCTCGACAGTTTGCACAAAGAATTGTCACGGGGAGTTAAATTTCGCAATTTTTCCGCCCATGTGAAATTCCGGTAAGCGGAAATTTCGCTTTGAATGTCTTGTGCAAGCTTAGCTGTCATTATGCGATCGGCAGGTTGCCGAAATCGTTGTCAACGTTTCCTGATTCGATTTTTCGCCTTAATAAGGTCCAAAATTTCCTCAGGAAGGTTGTCACGCTGAGGCACTTTTCTGGCTAAAGCTTGTTGTGTCCGTTGTATATTTCTGGTCAGACCTTTTACTGCAAGCTCTAAAGCTTCGACAGTATCGATCTGGCCCGGAATATACGTCTGGTCTCGTAGTCTCTTTCGATATTCGCGAAAATAGAAATTTTCATATGAGTATCGAAAGTCGTTAGTATTTGTGCGCTTCATATCCTTGATTTCAAGGTAAATGGGTAAATGGTCACTGCTGAGGGCATCTACTACCACCATCTCCGTGAGATTGGTGAGTCCTTTGGCAATTCCAAAGTCAAGGAAGGAATTCCTTCCATTGCTTGGATAGTGAGTTGGAGAATTTGTGGGCATAACAAGTAGGCCATTGTCGCGAACGTAGTTGGCAAGAAAAGTGCCAGCTGCGTTTTTCTGTCCAGGGTTTTTAAAGTATGGATGGCAAGCGTTTAGGTCTCCCATAAGCAACACCCTATTGGTGTTTGAGTAAAATGGATCCACATCTGTGGCCTGTAAGTGTCTAGCAGTA